CTGCCCGCTGTGAACAAACATATTTGGAATATGCGAACAAATTTGCTTGTAAGTTATAGATTAGGCATTTGGAAGGGAAAAAGTTGAGTTAAAGCTTCAACAACTGTAGGAGCCCAAAAAACACGTGAAGGCCCCAATGACACATTAAAAAAAAAAGCTACAATGACTTTATTTGGAGCTGTGCAACTCATGTGAAGCTTCAAAGTTCAAACAACATGACAAAATTGAAGATTTTCACTGTAGAGATATTGCCACAAAGTGGAAAATATACATTATGCATTAAGTTGTACCCCAGGGCTAGGTTCTGTAGCTCTTCCAAATTGAGAAGACACAAATTGAAGAAATTGGAGGATTTTGGTCCAACCAAGGTCCGTGCAGTGGTGCCGGGAGTAAATCGCGAAATTGCATGCCCTTCAGCTTCAATCTCCCCTAATTCAGAAGATCCAAAAAATCAACCAAAACCAGATTAATAATTAAGTTAAAACTCACTTTAAAGGTCGAACCTATAGTCACTGAAATGCTATCCCCCAATCTTGAAGCACTATCTCTGGGTTCGTCGGCTAGCTAGTCGTCAATCGCCGGGTAACTCACTGTCGTTCTGCTGCAAGGATAGTGGCCTATGGCCTGAATGGGCGTCATGGATCTAGACCCGTATCCTTCGTCGCCACTGCCGCCGTAGAACGATGTCGGGTCTCCCTCTCTCGTTGTTTCCAGCTCAACATCCCACCGGGTCTCCCTCTATCTCTCTGTCGTCGGGTCTGCCACTGCATAGTATGTGTCTTTCCACCGCTGGGTCTTCCATCATATGAATATTTTAGTAATTAAAAATATCACTATATGCTCAATTACAATTATTTAGTATACATAATGATAACAACCATAAGATTGACTTACAATATCAACACCTGTCTGCGGAAGTTCACTCTTGCTTGCTGCAAAAGCAGCTGCATATTCTTCATCCTATTCAATCACAAACATAGCATATTAAGAGCTCATAAAAAACAATATCTACTAACACTAAGAAGTAGGCTCATGGGCAGAAAAACTAACGTAAGCAAAATTTATAAGAATGAAAGAAAGAAATCAAGGACCTTGAGGGCTTGAGCGTTCATGATTTGGCATGCATTTTCTCTCTGATACTCGACAATCTTTGTTTCAATAGCTGGAATATCTATTCCATCAACTAAATTCACCACTGCAAGCAAATAGTTATTTTTCTTCAACTTAAAAGACAATGCAAGAGTGTACGTTCATAACACAAGCAATATACTTACCCATGTCCTCAACTTCCTCCAAGTAGTCATTGTATTCCCTTAAAGACATGAAATCCTCCTCTCTTTTATAACTGCAAAATTCACGGTAAAGTTTTAAGTAGCTTCAAGAAACTTGCTAATGCATGGTAAGTTGAGCAAATAGTCCCATGAAGTAAATTATTTGCATACCGTAAGATCCATCTTAAGCCTGACCATACCAGATAACTTAGTCAAGCAACTCAACACTGCAGAGTTGAGAGGCTTATCAGGAGTTGTTCCTTCAATTTACTGGTGTAACAACAACAGCTATTCACCAAATCATGAACTACTGAAAGGCTGGAGAAGTATGAACATTTATGAGCGTTACTTTGAACTAACAGCCAATTCACTTTCTTAGAAAATCTGCTAATGCAGAATATTTATGTTAAAAAATTGCAACATCCAAAGCAACTCCAAAATTAGAGAAACAAAGATTCAACTTGTGTTGGAATCCTCAATTCATCACACGTACAACACATTCCACATGCAGAGTAACTCTAATTCACAAACACGCATCACAGATGACACGAATCAACATATCATATAATAACAACCTAAACCCAAATTGTTCCAACTAATTAAACACAGTAGCAATGACTTCAAAAGGGCAATTGACAAATCCCAAAACCTTATTCACCTTTTAAGCGCTAAAATTCTAGAATTCGGATTCATAAGCGCGGAACCTGCGGTGATAGGACTCCTCAATGGCTGCATAAAATTCAAAATTGATAAACCTGAAATATCAATTTGAGCGATGCATATACAATTTGGGGGTAGAAAAGGCAAGAACAACTTACAGTACTGTGACTGACTTCATGAAACAGAGTCGACAGTCCAAAGTTCATGTCCCTGCTCCTCGCGACCAACAAACCCTAGCCGTTGGAAAGTAGACGCCGTGGTGCAGCAGACTTCATCGTACGTCAGCTGCAGGGGGCTCACTTCTCTCCGTAATCAATGTTCAAATATTTAGATCTTACATTAAATCAAATGCTTGAACAAACCAACCAACAAAATGAGATACCTGCACCACAAGTTCTTACATTTAGTTCCATGATCATAATTTAAAGAAAGAAAGCTAAATCAAAGTGTGAATCACGTGAACACAGGCTCAATTTACAATTACCCTAAAAACAAAGCTAAACAATGACATAGTAGAAAATATCAGTTGCAATAAGAGTGATTACTACACTGCATAACGCTACTTAAAATGTGTAAGAAAACAAAAACAGGACCTCAGACAATTCAAAGAACACCAAATTATTGCACCGCATATGCCAAAAAAAAAAAGAAAGAAAAAAAAATCCGCCAAAGGTCTTACAGAGATGCTGCGATCAAGAGGGTGATTATACCGGCACATGACGCCGTACCCACACGATTCGGCCTTTCCGGGTACACTTCCCTGCTCCACAGAACCACCGCATCGATTCTACACCACAAAGAGAAGCAAAACCAAAAAACCCTATGTAAAAAAAATCAAAATGCAGAACTCACCACGAAACCTCAAACGCCACGAAAATAACCCAGAAATCAAACCCGAAACCCACCTTCCAGACCCGTTTCCTGACCCCATTCCTCCTCCTGCTGTTCCCCGTACAGCCCCATCCGGCTGCGATCTAAGCAAAACAGGTAGAATCTTTATGCTTCAACAACGATTTTAGCCCCTTTCCCCATCCGATGATCGGAAATTTCGAACGATCGAAAGGGGGTATCTTGCAACGTACGCGGGCGAGATTTTTTTCAACAAAAAAACAGTGAGATTTGAGTGTGTGACTTGGAGATTTGAGGCCAGATAATTTCTTCTTCGAGATGTCGGCAGGGGCGAGATGAAGGAGAATGAAAATAAGAGACTGCAAGGTTTGAGAAACGGGAAAGGTGGGGGAGAAGAGATTTTGCGTGTAATGGTTTCTGTCCTCAACCACGATTTACGGCATTCACATCATTGCAGAAATTCTATCTTTGACCTGCGGGATTTATGAAAAAAGCAATTCGGTCCAAAAAATGAGAAAACAAAAATAATTGAATGCAGGGCAAGATCTGTAAATATAGGGCAAAAGCATAGATATTTTGGGCATAAAAAAATTGCTACGTGTCAAGCATAGAGATCCTCATGCTTTTACTTATATGTAAGAGAGAGATATATGTAAGATAAGATAAGATAAGATGGAGATATATACTAGTACAATACTCATGTATTACACGGTTGTTAATTAGAAAGCTTTTGAGAAGAATATTAATTTTTTATTTTTATTAAAAACTAAAATAATTTAATTTCATATAACACATTACTTTTAGTTTTAATTAAATTTTCAAATTATATTTTTTTAATTATAATAATTAAACACCCATACATTAAATGAAAATGTCAACCCGTATTGAATTTTTTTACTTATATCATATAAAAATATCAATATTATATACTATTACATAAGTACAAAAATATAAATAGAAATAATATGGTGATATGTATATGCATAAGTGTAGAATATGTTCATTTAATATTAAGCAAAATAGATAAATGTATATATATATATATAGGATGTGGTTCAAATGAGAACCAAGTTCTAGCGTGAGAACTGTGAGAACCGCTATTTTTAATTGTATGAAGTGCTATGATTGATTATTTTTAGTGCTATTTTTAATCAAGATATATTTTATTAAAAATAGCAACACAATTTATATTAGCATTTGTGAAAATGATAGCATGTGATAATAAAAATAGCATCATACACAAGTAAAATTAGCATAAAATATGGTTCTTCTCACACCAATACTGGTTTTTATTTGAATCAACCCCTATACGTATATATATATATATATATATATATATATATATATATAGTGTTAGGATCATATGAGAAAGAATGATAAAGAATGATAGTGAAAAAAATAAGAATGATTATGAACCATCGAATGCATCAAACCAATGGACATAAAGAAGTCAAAATTTATTAAATCATAATCAAACATGAATGACATTATTGTAAATAATTGTGCCTAACATGGACAAATATAAATATTAGACCACTAACTGAGGGTAATTAAGACATTATACACTACCCGTGGACTCCACCACTACCACCACTAACCTACCCCATCTCTCTCTCTCACACACATCTCACACCTGCACACACACACCTGCAACACACCTACTATCACACCTTACACACACACACACTCACAAACCTCACGCACACACACATGCACACCAATTGATTCGCCGTCGGCAGCCACAAACCTCCCTGCCGTCCGCCGAGACCTTCCCTGCCGGCCGTCGAGACCACCCCCGTCGTCCGCTAAGACCCTCCCTGCCGGCCACTGAGATCATCCCCGCCGTCCGCCAAGGTCGGTCGCAATCTGCCACGACTGATACGCCGGTGAGAGCTGAAAACAGATGCCATCCACAGACATCCCCGTCGGCCACCGAGACCCTCCCCGCCGCCGAGACCATTCCCGCCGCCCGCCAAGGTTGGCCACGATCTGCCGCTAGTGCTGAAAACAGATGCCTGCCAAGGTCACCCGAGAAAGTCGTCGGGGCCGGGAGCTGAAAATAGGCGGGTGTGATGCGAGCATTGAAGGAGGAGAAATAAGGAGGGCTACTTCTAGAAAATTTGACATGATACAAGGATCCAATTGCAATTTTGTAAAGTTTAATATATTACAATTTAACCCTAGAGTCAAATCTAGAATTATATCAAACATAATTAATACTTCAATATATTACAATTTAACCCAATGGCAAATCTGTAATTACTAAAACATAAGTATTATTATAATATTTCATTTATTATTTAATATTTTTTAAGTTTTTATATTATTTTAGGTAAATGTAAATAATAATATTACATACGAATATAAATAATAATAATAATAATAATTTTAGAAAATTTTACATGATACAAGGATCCAATTGCAATTTTGTAAAGTTTAATATATTTTATACAGTTCGCTCTATTCTATTTGTTCAATTATCTTAAAAATAAAGCCGATATCGAACCAAAATAACATAGATTTTACAAAATAAAAATAGATAATTGATCGAAATATAAAATTTGGAACCAAAAATATATAATCGATCGAAATATAAAATAATAATAAATACACAATTTTTTTTAATATAAAATAATAATCGGTCAACTAAATTAACATAATTAATTGAAACAAAATATAATTTATATGATAAAAATATATTGGTATTTTAATATTTTTTTATACATTTTTTTTGTTGTAAGACTTAAAATATATAAACAATAAAATATAAATATTTTTTTTTTTTGTATTTCGATAGTTTCTGTTATTTAAAAAATATATATATAATTGCCATCAAACCGAACTAACAAAAATTTAAAAGTGTAAATTGATAAGCGAACCAAAATATAAGATTTGAACCCGAAAAAACTTAGTCGGTCGATTTTGGTCGCTATAGTGCAACCTGACAGTCGCAATTGTGCAATCCAACTAACACTAATGTGCACATGAAGTGTAGTTATTTTTGTATTGATTTGTCTTCACCAAAACTAATGACAAAATAACTGTTATATTTGATCGGTCAATCAAATCAACCTAAATAGTCGAACTAATATATAATTTATATTATAAAAAATAAATTTAGCATGTTAATATGTTTATTTAATAATTTATATTATTTTTCTGTACAAAATACATTATAAATAGATATTAAAAAACAAATTAATACATTTATATAATTTGGTTGGATATGTTATTTTAGTTGTTTTAAAAGATATCCAAAATTTTAAAAATGAAAACCAACTTAACAAGAGTATTTGTGTACTTGTTGATTTTTCATGCGTGATCACTTCGAAACGACAATGTGCATTATCAAAATCATTAATGTGCAACTATTATATCAATAAAGTGCAATTTGCAATACATGTAATTTTTAATATGCATAATACTAAATCTATATATATATAATTACTAGCTAATATCATTTAAGAAAACCTATTTAATAAAACCTCTAAAATTTTCCCTCCATTTTCGGTTACAAAATTTATCATTAATGCTTTTTTACTTCTCACATTAATACATTTTATTGAGTGTAATCATGTATTTTTCTATTATATAATATAATAATTAATGCTAATACCAACTAATAATAATTCACAATAAATATAAATTGCATAATTATAAACAATTGTTTCAAGTTATTTATTTTAACATCAATATTATCTTTTTCTTTTGTATCTCATGAAAAAATTTCTTTAAAAACAATCAGTAAATTGTTTTAATAGCATAGTCAAACAACTTTAGAATATTATAAACAATTATTTTTGTAATAATAATAATAATAATAATGATAATAATAATAATAACAATAATAATAGTAATAATCAAACTGCTATTATCTAATGATAATTAACAATTGTTCATAATAATAAACAATTATTAATTTATTTTTTCTAATAATTAAAATTTAAAAATGTAATATGTTCATTATCTAAAATTTTAATATTAAATTATCAAATATTACTTATTATATTTTATGTAAATTGTGCACAGGATATTCACTAGTTACATATAACTTTTCTTTATGTATTGTGCATTTTACTTATCATTAATATGCATCCATTAATTTTTTATTATAGATCATATAGTTTTACGTGAAATAAACTGAAAAACAATAAAAATTTACAAAATAGGTCCCGAAAAATTATCAAATTCTCAAAAGGTTAATTTGAACCCTAAATCCCCAATTTTGCATCTAATCTTTCTATCTTGCAGTATCATCCCCATGCCGCTGCTTGAGCCTCGCCGGAGAGCCATGGTATCCAGGCCGACCTCGACCTCGACCGCGACGCCGCCGTGAAGAGCTCTCCGACGAGCCGGTGTGGCTACAACTGGCAGCAAATGCAAGGCGTCGTGCTCCAGTCGGGCTCGCCGGCAAGCTATGGCCTCCGGTCGACCGCGACCGCGACCGCGCCACCGGTATGGACCCTGAAAACCACCATGTTCATTTGCAGCAGTGACGGCAGGGATAGAGAGGCGGACATGGGATGACGATTGGAGCTGTCGGCCTCCTTGACGGAATCCGACGGACCGACGGCGCTGTAGCGGCAGCCGCCAGCGAAGTCAGAAGCCGGCGGGGGAGAGTCTCCGACAGCGGCACCGGTGGCGGACCTGGTGATGGTCGGGCGGTGATGCTGCTCTGTGTGTGTTTGTATGTGTGTGTGTGTGTGTGTGAGTAGTGTGTGCGTGTGTGTTTTCTTTATTTGTTTGTGTGTGTGCTGAATGTGTGTGTGCGTGTGGTGTGCGTGTGTTTGTATGGAAGGTGATGTGGCATGCTGATGTGGAGGGTCATATGCAAAGAGGAACACACCTCACAGGAGAAAATTTGACCCCAAGGGCTTCACCTTGTGTTTTCCTAGCCTATGTCAATGGTGTAGAGGGGTTTAGGGTACTGGATCTTGATAGCAATGAAGTTTTCATCTCAAGAGATGTCATATTTCATGAGACAGAATTTCCCTTTCATGAGCAAATTGCAAAAGATCAATCTATTCCACTACCAGTTGCACATGACAAATTGTCAGAACATAAAGAAGATGAACTTATTGATCCAATTGAAACTTCTGAGGTAGACTCTTCTCCTCAACCTGTGAGAATCACTAGAAAGAGACAGCCACCAGCTTGGTTGTCAGACTATGTGACAGACTTAGTGATTGTTGATGACACACTTGTCAAAGAAGCTCATTCTTTTATGACTGAAGTTGAGAAAACAGAAAGTGAACCATTGTACTATGAACAGGCTGTTCAACATCAGCAGTGGTTTGAAGCCACGACTAAAGAACTTGAAGCTTTGGAACAGAACAGCACTTGGGTTTTAACTTCTCTGCCACCAGGTAAAAAGGACATAGGATCCAAGTGGGTTTACCAAATAAAAAGAACCCCAGATGGAACAATAGACAAGTACAAGGCAAGATTGGTTGCAAAAGGATATTTACAAAAAGAGGGGATTGACTTCTTTGAGAGTTTCTCACCTGTGGCAAAGATGGTGTCTGTCAGATTTTTACTTGCCTTAGCAACTCAAAGACAGTGGGAAATTCATCACATTGATATTAATAATGCTTTCCTTCATGGATACTTGGAAGGCGAGATTTATATGTTGCCTCCTAAAGGTTACACAAAAGCTGGAAACAATCAGTTGTGTTTATTACAAAGAAGCTTGTATGGACTCAAACAAGCATCAAGACAATGGAACATTGAGTTTTTTGAAAAATTGGTTGTCTATGGGTTTGTTCAATCAGTGCATGACCATTGCCTTTTCCTTAAACAAGGGACTGATAGGTTCTTGGCCCTATTGATCTATGTTGATGATGTTGAGATTACAGGAACTCATGTGGCAGATATCACCCATCTGAAGTGTTACTTGCACTGTTTATTCACAATCAAGGATCTTGGTATTGCAAAGTTCTTTTTGGGGCAGGAGTTAATCAGAACAGGACATGGTCTTTTTCTTAGCCAAAAGAAGTACATTCAAGACATTGTCAAAGATATGGGTTTATTAGATTCTAAGCCTGTGGTGACTCCTCTTCCACAAGGCATCAACTTATCTTCACAAACCACAACACTGTTAGAAGATGAGCGACCTTATAGGAGATTTATTGGGAGACTTCTATACCTCAACTTTTCTAGGCCTGACATCTCTTTTGCTATTCAGCAATTGAGTCAATTTGTTCACTCTCCTACTAAGGCTCATTGGTCATCAACTCTTTATTTGGTGAGGTATCTTAAGGGATGTCCTTCTTTGGGACTTTTTTATGCAGCTCAACCTTCTAGGCAGATTGAGGCCTTTTGTAATGCTGATTGGGGGAGTTGTACATTGACTAGAAGATCTCTGACAGGTTATGTATCTTCCTTGGGCAAGCTTTGATATCTTGGAAAACCAAGAAGCAGAAAATGATTTCTAGATCCTCGGCTGAGGCCGAATATCGTTCTATGGCCACTACGGTTTGTGAACTCAAGTGGCTTTCTTACTTTGCTACAGATTTTGACTTGCAGCTCACTCTTCCAGTCCCTTTCTAGTGTGACAACAAAGCGGCTTTGCACATCACAGCCAACCCGGTTTTTCATGAACGTACTAAGGACTTGGATATCAATTGTCATGTGGTGCGGGATATGTTTAAAGCTTGTTTTATTGAGTTGAGCTCATTCTCATCGGCTATGGCAAACGTGCACTGCATGAGGTGGCACAGTACTCACGCAACAGACCAAAGTTTCCTCTGTTTTTATGTCCTCGTCTTTAAGCTCTCTTTATCAATAGGCCTCGTGTTTTGCTTTTGTTAATTTAGTTTTGCGTTTTATTGTGAAAGGACTTTTTTGTCCTTATCATCTAGAACTCGAGCTAAGGATTTTAATTTCTGCAATCAGTACGTTTTCATTTTGAGCTAAGAACATATTGAGAAAATTTCCCCAAATTCAGTCTCTCGATATTAGCTATGGAAAATTATTCGTCTCTTCAGTCCATTGGCTCAAAGATAAAAAAATTATAATTGCAAACAGAAAACCTGATAAAATATAACAAAAAACTGATAATTTGAGAATCTATATACGATCATTATGAAAATATAACTAAAAACTGAATTAGAAACTTTGCATAACTATATACACCTGAAGGAATCTATATACAATCCCTAAAAATGCGAGTTGAATATTAGAAACCGAAAACGAGAACAATTATGGCGCAATCCTCCGAGGATCGCGCGGGAAAACACTTGTTTTCGTGATATTCTTCAGAGCCCAGAAAAGCATCACCACACGCTCCAACCGCACTACAAACCCGCCGTGCGGTGGTGCTCCATACCTAACAAAAATTTAAACAGATACTAATAATAAAAAAACGTTTACTAAATTACGACAATTAAAATAATAATACATGTATTCTCTCGGAAAACACACTAATAATAGTAACAGAAGCAGGCACGTAGCAAATCTATGTATAACTATATGCACCTGAAGGAATCAATGTATGTAGATATCGTCTCAACATCAATTCCACATGCCTGTGCACGCTCAGTCAAGAGCTCGCGCACGTGAACACGCTGAGCCCCTGATATAATTTTCTCACCTAAAAAAAAAAGGTACTCGTAAATTTGTTCAAAGATGCAAATGTGACTTTCAAGAGATTGAGGATCATTAAACATTTATATACATTTCATTTGCTTCCTATAAATTGATACTTCTAAAGTATTCCTTTAATTTGCACAATCTGTTAAACATGCAAGTTAAACATTAAAAAAATGTATTGGTTTCTGCTTTCATGAAATGCAATTACAGAAATGGAATTATAATAGGAATGTGCACTCAAGACCTGCAAGAAGCATGGGTTCCTGCATATGGATAAGTTGTATATTACCTCGGATGAAACCATCAAATGAGTTGCTGTAGTTTGGATTATCATCGCACGGCATCGTATAGAATGGCCTTACACCCGAAGGATAGCGGTGAAGGATAAAGAACTCAGTGTCATACCTACAATCACAAACAAATAGATATGATACTATTACCAATTATAAACATGATTCTCATATCGATGCTTTTGTCAGTGGCATTTCCGTCCTTTCCCCTCGGATCATCTCTTTCATTAGTTGGAAAAAAAAAACCCATTTTTCGTTATTTTTATTCTATTTCTAAATTTTATTGCCATTTCTAATGACAAGTACAATAAGCTGAACCTTCACAATAGTTTTCTTCTATTATGGTAGGGTTAATAACAGTTTCGTTTTCTTCACAATAGTTTATCCTTTTAAAGTCATCACAACCCATGGTTTGTTTATCATGAATGGGTAAGTGGACGATGAAGAAGATTAAATGATGACCCAAACCCGTTAATACAAAGATACAAAAATGAAGAGAAACAATAAGATAAAATTGTCATACCTCTCAAGTACAAGCTGGCCAAGCTTTCTCTCTGATTCTGTGTTGAGATCTCCAAGGGGATCAATTTCAACGCCAGCTTCCTTCAATGAAAATCCAGAATTTGTTGAGAAAAAAAGGATAAAAAGCTATAATTCAAAGTGTTAGAAGAAAGCATAAACGTTAATAATTGGTACTCATGTCCAGTCACAAAATTACATAGATGTGTCTCTCAATGTGGGCAAGGTGTGTGAGTCATATAGCTATATTAGTGCTTATATTACAATTTACAAAAATACATGTGCACGCACAATCTCAGGCAAAGTGAATACAGTGAATCTCATTATCTAAGGGAATCAGCAAAACATTTCAGCCAATGTTCCATTCTATGTTCTTATATCAAATAACAATTTACAGATATGCATGCCAAAGCCATGCTAACATATTACATTGACAAATAAAAGCTAGTACACATCATTCAACACTAATTTCATGTACAGTTCCTTGTTTCATGTTGCATTATGACTGCATACCATTTTGTTATACTTGTACCAGCTTTTTTTGCATTAACATATGCTCAGGTTCATAGATTTAGTATATTGATTTTCCTAGCATTTTCATGCAAAATCATAGAAAATGGACAAGAATATGTAGCCTTGTGAGTCTATACTACCAATTCTACAAGTATATAAATTATAATATCTGTAAAAGTACCAATCAACTGATTTGAGTGACCTAGATCGTAAGCCAAAAACATTAACCAGATCTGCCTGATGTCTTCACCAATTTATTTTAGAAAATTGATTTTGATATTTATCTACAGATATACATCAACATTCATCTTGTTCTCTCACCTTCAGCATTCGCACCCCTTCTTCAAAGGTAAGCCGTAAGGTCTTGCCCAAATACTGCATATTCAAAATTTATTGACTATCATTGAATAAATAAAAACAAGATAATAAATTTATGGATAGACGAATAGCACCAAGATAATGGACTACCCCGAGGGATAATGCATTTTCTCAGTGATTTTAGATTACTACTACTTAATATAACAATAAATAAATAACATAAATTTGATCGTGACTCAACCTTCAATTTCTGAAAAGGATATTGCCTATTGATAACTTCAAGCTCCTTGGAACATGTCTCATTCAAACTGTCAAACATCGCCACAAATAAGCGGTCCACAACATCCATCACCTGCACAAATGATCCCAGATCATATCTCGCAAAACCCAATCTACACAGTAGGTTGAAGCTAAGAAAAAATGATGCATACTTCTGAATAGTGCTCCTTAATCTCCATTTCTACATCAAGACCTGTGAATTCACACAAATCGCTGTGTGTGGATGACTCCTCTTCCCTGAAGACTGGTCCGATCTCAAATACACGGGCAAAACCACCATAAATAAACATTTGTTCATGAAGCTGAGGTGCTTGTGCCAGGCACGCAGGTGTTCCTTTGTTTAATTTTAGCGTGTGGATCTCCACAAAGCCTTCAGACAGCAAGAACTGCCTAAATATCTGCATGAACATGTAATAACAGTGAGGATCCCAACAACAGACAACAAAGCCTTCACATACATATAAATTTATAGGTTCTTGAAATCAAGACTGGGTCATTAAGGTAAAGAAGACAATGTGAGAATATGTTTACGAGAAAAAACTCAGTGTACGTCATTTTATATGTACAAAATAAGGGAAGATATCCATGTATATGTATTGAATCAAGTAATTAGAGTAGGCATATACCTAGTTGTATACTCCTTAAGAATGTGAAATATCCAAGGAAACAATCTAAATGATTTCAAGATATGTGTTAATGTGTGAAATAGCTTATAGCTTATAAGCTTCTTGTATTCAAATAAACTTCGTTTGGTAGCTTTTTTACAAAGCTCGAGCTTATCTCATAAGCTTCTTTGGGTGGCTTTTCAAATAAGCTCGTTGCAATTTTTATTTTAGCTAGCTTATCAGCTAATTTTACCCAACACGTTTATCATATATGCTAGCTTTTCAGATACAAGTCATAAGCTATATAAGCTATTAGCTCGAAAATCACTTATATGCTATCAACTAGCTTATTGGCTAGTTTACCAAACATAGCATTGAGGTCTGCATTACTTGCAAGATTCCATAAGGATGAGAAGTTCAAATCTAGACAATAAAAAACTGGTTGCATAAAGGTTTTATAAAAGTGGAGTAAGATTTTTTTATAAGAAATAGAGAAAAAGGAAAAGAAAAAAAAAAATGGAACTTACATTCTGAACTTGCCTCTTAATTCTGAAAATATCCTGATTAGCACGGGTGCGCAAGTCAAGATCTCTATATTTCAAACGAGCGTCCTGATTTACACACACGAGCGGCTCACCTGCCTGCATTCAGAAAACAAAAATCAGTTCCAAGTGCAATGTTGTACTAAAAGGACAAACAGATGCCTATAAAAATGAGTAACATGTGCATAAACATAGGAAATGCAAATGCAACAAGTAGCCCACAATCACATAAAACAGATAAGCCACACACAATAAACCAGAAACACTTCCAATACTGCGATGAAGGATCTGTCACCAGGTAATTTGACATGTTATCTAGTAACTATGGCCTATTTTAATTCCCGTAATATCAACAAATGCTTTTAAGCATCAAGAAGCTCCTCTACAGATCAAGTGGTGACTTAGAGTTCTGCAAGAACAAGACATTCAAAGTACTTCATGTCCTCTCAACAATTTTCAACACAAGCATGAAAAACAAACACAAAAGCACGCTAAAACGCTAAAACCTGCTGAGTCGTGCCAGTGATGGGCTGTGCCGGCACGGAGACAATCCCTTCAGCATCAATGATACTCTCTCTGTTCAGCACCTCCTGGTCCTTCACTTTCAGCCCAGCGGTCAGGTCCTTCACCTCCGTCCACTTCTTCCCGGAGATTTCCTTCGACTGGAGGTCGTTAAACGGGATCTCGCCGTAGTTTGCCGCCAATGGGTCGGCTTCGATGGTCACGGCGGCGGCGGAGGCTGCGGTCGCCTCCTGATGCTTGCGCTTCCGGGATGGCTCCTCCGACGACATGGGTTGGTGATGGAAGAGACGATTGAGGCGAGTTTATTTGGAAAAATGGGTGTGCGGCTGGTGACTTTTCTTAGCTTTTGCTTGAGGGCAGAATTTTAACGATAGTGTGGTTGCAATGTTTTTATTTATAAGTTTTTTTTTCTTTTTTTCTTTTTTTTTTTCCCATCTTTAAATGAGGATCCATCTATTATCTTTAGGGCTTCCACATCCGTTTAACACATATATCATTCATTCAATTAAAAAGTAACACTCTCTCTCATCCACATCATCTTTCCACTAAATATCTCTCCATTTAAACACACACCCATATCCATACACATTCATTTAAATACAAATATGAGACTCATTATATCCATTCATTCAATATAAATTTTAATATTCTATTCTCAACAAAAATAAAAATTTATTATTTTTAAATTATAATAATAAATTTTAAATGCATGAAAATAAAAGAACACTACAAGACCAACGTAACTTAAATTAAGATTACACAAGAATAAATAGTACAATTACAAAAAATAATTTTTTAGTGGCTAAAATGAGTCCAAATATGCTCAACTAAATCGGCACGAAGTTGATGATGCACTGTGTTATCTCGTATCTGAACTTCTACGGATATAATTTTGAAATTCTCGGTTTGAACCCTGGACAGGTTGTGCAGGCTCTTCATCCTCGTCATTGTGCCAATGTGATACTAGCACTCCTTCATTTTCAACAATCATATTGTGTAGAATAATGCATGTCAACATAACAAATTTCAGTTTTCTTCTATACCAAAATCGAGCAGGACCTCTTACAATTGCCCATCGAGACTGAAGCACCCCAAATGCTCTTTCCATTCTGGATATATTCCATCTGTAAGATAATACCCATTTGTGCTCGTTCTGGATATATTCCATCTGACGGGCAAGGAAAAGACTTTACGAACGTAGCCCATTCTGGATATATTCCATCTGTAAGATAATACCCATTTGCATATTGTGTGCCGTTGACAGTAAAATGAATGTTTGGTGCATTTCCTTGCAACACATTATTAAATAGAGGAGATTCATACAATACATTGATATCGTTACGTGATCCTGCAACACCAAAAAAGGCATGCCATATCCACAAATCGTGTGAAGCAACCGCTTCAAGGACAATCGTAGGAGACCCATGCCCTCTTGTGAATTGACCTTTCCATGCAACTGGACAAATTTTCCATTCCCAATGCATACAATCAAGGCTTTCAAGCATACCCGGAAAACCATGATTTTCTTCATGCATTTGGAGGAGTCTTTGAACATCGCTACTGTTCGGTCTTCTCAAATATTCATCACCGAAAATTTCAACCACACTTTCACAAAATTTAAAAAGACATTTGATAGCAGTTGACTCGCCCATACGTAAATACTCATCAAGGTGGTCAGCTGGGACTCCATAAGCCAACTGACGAATGGCTGCTGTGCATTTTTGAAGTGGTGACAAACTTTGTCTTCCTGTGCATCAATGTTTTGCTGGAAATATGATGATCGTGTTTGAAGTGCATTCACAATTCGAAGGAATAATTCTCTTCGCATACGAAAACGCCTACGAAATATATGATCCGGGTAGATTGAATGGTCAGAGAAATAATCACTTACCAGTCTGTTATGCCCATCTTCTCGATTTCTCTGGATGAACCTTCTTCTTCTACGAACTTCAATTTCATGTTGGTATGCTTGAAGTAACTCGTGGCTTTGTTGAACGATTGATGAAATCATTTCAACTTCTAAATCGTTAGTGTCATCACCATCTTCACTGTCGGTGGATGATGATGAGTTAGACTCGGATCTATATGAATTTTGAGACATTTTTGGAGGATTCTAATTGAATTTAAAGTGCGTAACTATGATTTGAAGAATGTGAAAAAATATGTGAGTTTGCTTAGAATATTTAATGCCCCGTTTATTTGTGGATTATTTGGGATTTATAATTATTAATATTATTATTATTATTGTTATTATCAATTAGTGATAATATTTATATTTATATTTTCTTGAATGCCATAATATGTATTAATTGTCAAATGTGATTAAATGCTAATTGTGAAATTTGTCTAATTGATTTGTTTGTGATATATTTAAATTGTAAATGTGTATGTAATAATGTGTAAAATATATATCTTTATTTTTCGGTTCATTTTTATCGCGCGTTTGCATTCGAAATCGAGCCCGATAATTTTCGTTGGAACCGAATTTGGCCCGTAAATATCCGTTTAAATTTTTAATCAAGCCGTGAGCGATTTGTTGTCCCAACCGGCCCAAAAATCTAATTGGCCCAAATTTCTCGGGCCCGGCCCGACAGATTTTCTTTTTCTTTTTGGGCGTGAGTTTTTGTGTGTCTTGGACAACAAGGCTTTAAACCTAATAGCATGTATATATATATATATATATATATATATATATATATATATATATATATATATATATATATATATATATATATATATATATATATATATATATATATATATATATATATATATATATATATATATATATATATATATATATATATATATATATATATATATATATATATATATATATATATATATATATATATATATATATATATATATATATATATATATATATATATATATATATATATATATATATATATATATATATATATATATATATATATATATATATATATATATATATATATATATATATATATATATATATATATATATATATATATATATATATATATATATATATATATATATATATATATATATATATATATATATATATATATATATATATATATGTATCTCCCTTGTGATAGCTCAAATCCCGCAGCTTTTTGTGATTTTCTCAAACTATTCCCGATCCTATCTCCTTCTCGCTGTGACTTTCTTTTCGTCCCACATCATCATCATCACCGACCATCACCTTCACTTTCATCGTGACTCCTTGCCATCACCTTCATCGTCGGAATTTCCCCTCCCTTTTTGTTTTTGGTTTTTCCTGTTATCACCATCCTCTCGTCGTCATCTCCTCATCTCGCCACCATCATCGCCGGCGTGAAGCAACCACTTCCGGCGACCCTGTTCTGCTTTTTTCCCGGTGAGTCTGAGCCTCCCGCGAGCAGCTCCCGAACCTCCGGCGTCCGCACAGCAACTCGCGACCTCCTGTTGCGTTTTTCCGGCGACCAGTTGCAGCGAACGGCGACCCCCGTCCGGTGACCTTCCCGGCGAGCTTGTGAACCAGCAGCAGCGACCCCCCTTCTCCTCCCGTGCGACGAGCCCTTCTCTTTCGCGAGACGAGTTTACCGTCGAGCCCGTTCGAACCCATTCTCGCTCGATTCCCGAGAACGGTACCTCGTCGTCTTTCCGTCTCGTTTAATTCATATATGTTTCGTTGAATTTTTCATGTCGTGAAGTGCTCGTGTTATATATGATGTGATTTTTTTTTTAGTGAATATATGCAAATATATGAATTGTTGTGATTGTATGTGTTCGTATGCTCCGGATCTCTTCGATTTTCTCAAAAATTGAACGAGACCTTGAAAGTCGTGTAAGTCGGTGGATATTGGAACAATGTCGAGTCCTTGGTCTTATGAAAAGGCCTCGGACGAGAAATTTTATGTTGTGAATTAATTTGCAAGTTGTCGAGCTTTTTAATCGCTGTTTCGGTGTTCGAATTTTTAAAAATAGCTCGCTGCTCGAAACGATTTGAAATTTTGAGGGATATGTTATCTGTTCATTGTCTTCATTGTGTAAAACTTTAGTAATTTTTAGAGGCCTGTAGCTATTTTTAATAATTAAAGTGTAATCTGATCAGAATAATTTTAAATGCATAAAAAATTCATGCTTGAATGGAATGAGCTGAAATTCGAATATGTGATGCCTCTGTGACTTATATGTGTTGTGTTAAATTTTTAGAATTTTTGGAGTTGATTTGTTGTGGTAAATATTTTATTTATCGAATCTGCAGAAACGTTATTTGAATTTTTATAAATTGGTTACTTCTTGGAAAATTCTGAAATTTTATTGAGAAGCCTATTTTATGTGTTTGATCATGTTTGTAAAAGATGGGAATTTTTTAAGTCCGTTTTGATTCAGTTTGGGTTTAAATTTGATAAACTGCTGTTGCTCGTATGAATTTTTAAAAATAGCAGTAGTTAACATTTAAGGCTGAGATTTTTATACATGGACTTTAGCGTGCTTTATATTGTTGTGTAAAATTTTAAAGTTCAGATTCATTCATTAAGTCCGAGTATGAATTAATGTACCCATTTTTCTGATATCTTGTTCGAATTTTATAAAATAGGGTACTTCAAGTTTAAAGCTGAAACTTTGTGGTTTTACATGTTTCTGGGAGATAAAATTTTGTGTAAATTTTCAGAGCTTAATTCGTAGGGTAGCTTGACCATCTATTTTCATGCGATTAAATGATTTCTATTTTCGAAGCATGATTTTTATATGAAAATTTGAAAATCGACTTGCTTTTAGTTTTGATGTGAATTTGACTTGGTCAATCTTTGGATGGATTTATGTGAACTCCCTTATGTGGTTTGGTCGAGTTTAGTGCCGAGTCTTAGTGTTCCAACATCCACAGGACTTCACGAACTACTTAGTCGAATCGAGTTCGACTAGGTCTGTCTTGTGATTTCCGATTTAAGTCGAGATAGATATTGATTGTAGGATCTTGATATCATGTAGGTGTCTAGAGGTGTTGACCTTGCCTTATTCCAAGATTTGTGATCCTGTGAACTGTTGCTGCTATCAAGTGAGTACATTTATGATGTATTCCATATTTATCGCACTCCTTATTTCGTGTAATGTTTTCTTTGAAAATTTTTGTATGCATGAGAACTCTAGTCTAAGTGTCCCGAACGCTAGTGCCTTGATGAATGCGAAAACAGTAGGAGGTCGCCTGCCCGTTGTATCCGGGAGGGACGCCCCATGCCGTTGTATCCGGAAGGGGAAAAACATCTCTGCTGTCTCCTGGAAAGGATCCTGCGAACCGTTGTACCCGGGGGTGGGAATGTTTCCAGTTACAGCCATGTCGTTGTATCCGGAAGGTTGTTGTATGTACATAGGAGGTTTGCGAT